ATAGAACTAAGAAATATCAAGATTTAAAAGATAAGTTCCCTGGAACGTTCAGAAGAGCAACATGGGAGAAACTGAGAAAAGAATTGTAACCCATAGAATAAGATGTTTTTCCAAGATGAAGGTATGAAATTTTTTTGTGTGGTTTTATGTGTATGTATATGATGATATATATTTAACTTAGTGTTGTAAAATTGCTCACATCATTTGACGTGATCTAATATGAATGTCATACTACCTGATCTATTGGTAATTTCTTGATTTAAAGAAGCTGATTTTGTAACTTAGGGTGTGTCTAAATAGGATTATTGACTTAGACAATTTAATCAGGAACGTTTTGAGGGACTTAAATGGAAGCTAGGAACTTATAATTTTTCAAGCACGCAGGATCTATTTTCATGGATCAAAGGCCAATTCAATTTTCAGCCTTCCGGGGCCTTGAGGCCAGAGGAGTGTGAGGGATTCTCCCAGGAAATGGTTCAATGGACAGAAATGCTTTGTTTATCTGTTTGCAATGGTTACTTCACAATGACCCAGTAAAACAAATGTTTTCTTCAAACTCTGGCGACATGACAATCATTCTCTATAAGAAAAATGCCCATTTTATTAGATGCTTCTGGAGCTTTTGACTATTTAAGAGAAAATTATTATTTCATAACTTCAAAGCCATTTTACATTCAAAAAATTTTGAATTTTAAACCAAGGGATCTGGATATTTGTCTTAATTCTACAGCTAGTGATTGCAAGTGGTTTTTAAACTATGATACTATCACCAATACCCACTATGGAAAGCTTGTTTTCCCTTTCTATATGTGTAGAGAAAATCTACACATGTTCACTGAAGGGAGGTTATACTATATATCTAGAAAAGTTCTTTTGCCTGAAATATCATGATAATTATGAAAAAAATATTTTTCTTAAATCCTCCCTCAACTTTTATATTTTTCTCATATAATTGACTATTTGAAAATAAGGCTGTACAACCAGGTTCTCTGGGTTCATATTTGAGTCAGCTGCTTATGTGTTTTGTGACATTGGACAAATTGCTTACATCTTTGTACCTCAATTTTCTCATCTGAAAAGGCTAATAATAATAATAATCCTATGTCATCGGGATTTTTTTACATGGGTGAAATAATGACTGGACTATTGTAAACATTCAAGAAGTTCTAGCTATTGATGGCACAGTGGTTGACGCGCTCAGCGCTTAACTGCTAACCAAAAAGTCAGTGGTTTGAACCCACCAGCCTCTCTGTGGGAGAAAGATGTAGCAGTCTGCTTCCATAAAGTGTTGGGAACACTTTGCGGCAGTTCTACTCTATCTTATAGAGTCACTATGAGCTGGAATGGACTTGAAGAAGTGGAATAATATGCTGAACACTCATTTGTTTGTTGTTGTTTTTATTACTTTTAATAGCTTTTGTGGCGAAAAGTCAAGTTGGGAGTTATTTATAAGGGATAGGCCTTCAGTTTAATTTTTGATTACTTTGGAGTTAGGCAAGATGAGATAGCAATGTGAAGGTTGTGTCAAAATATTGCAAGCACAAGGTTATCAGGAAAAAGTGAGAGTTGGGTAATTGCTTAATAATCAGTTCGGTTTCTCAGCTTCACTGAACTTAGAAATATGCTCACGAAGCAAAATTCTTTAGGAAGTATCAAAAGAGTTTCCTTAAAAATTTGCCTCAAACACTGGGACATTATTGTCAAAAGATAGTAGGACTAGCTTTATGAATGTAGAGGTTATTTTGTACCAGACATGAGTCAGAATAGTCACTGGTTAATGAGTCCGGTAGTTCAGGCAACTCATTTAGGTGTTTTAAGAAAACAGCATTGGGGTCATGAGCTATCTTATTACCTTTCTTAAAATGTCAAATAAAATAAATTATTTTTCCAAATCTGATTTGTACTTGATTTGGTAGACCTTGCCTTTAAATGTAATACCCAAATTATAAAACCATGTGAAAATTTTTTATTCTCAGTAACATGCTCTGCAAGGATTCATAGTGTAAAGAGAGACAGCTTTTCCACAAATGCTACTTAGTATAAAAGAACCTATAGCTACAGGTATAGCTATACTATCTGGGCAGCCACCTAACGCTTTTGATTCATATTAAGCCTGATGTAATTTAAACTCCCCAGGTCTTTTTCACATAAATTTATATTCAGATTTTCCCAAACTAATTGGTACAGATCCTATTACATCTCATCTTACTTTCAGCTGACCACTTCTTCAAGATGTTTTTGAATACTTATTCTATCATTAATTTAGTGAAGTTGTATTGAGTGCCTACTATTCATCAGGCCTTGTGCTAAGCATCAAAAATACAAAAGTAAATAATACGTGGTTCTTATCTCTGAATTTCTCAGAGTATAGTGAGAAAGGAAGTTGTAGAGCTACCAACACATACTTAAAGTGCAATGTACTAAGAGCGATAATAGATGTAGGTACACAGCGCAGTGAGAAGACAAGGCTAAAAGAGTCAAGGAAGTGTTCCTACAAGAGGTAATGATTGAGCTAAGTTTTGAAAATTAAATGTATTTATCAAATGCACAAAGGGAAGAAAGGTGTTACAAGTAGAGAAACATCATGTGAAAGACCCTGAAGTGTGAAACAGCACGGTTAATTAAAGGAATTATAAGTAGAGCATTATGCTTAGGGACGTGCAGCAGGAGATGATACTGAGATATAAACAAGGTTAGATCATGAAGGGCTTTGTTTTGTCATCTAAAAAATTGGAATTTGGGGTGGTTGGAAGTCACTGAAAAATTTTAAGAAGTGGAATAATATGCTGAACACTCATTTTAAAAATTGGTTTGACATTTACTAAGTTGCAAATTAGTGGTGGTGGCAGGTGGAAGAGAGTTTGGAGGTGCACAAGACTGAAGGGGACTAACAAATTATTACAATTGTCTAAGCCAGACTGTACATAAATTTGAGAAATTTCAGCACATGAGTTGTAGTTAGAAGTCATGGGAGTAAGTGAGATTTTTCTAGAGAGAGTAATGAATATAAGACAAAACCTTGAAAGAGTTGGTCAAAGAAGAGAAGCTTGAGTAGAAAGAACCTAATGGATAGGCAGAGATATAGGTATGCATGAGGGTAAGGGGGATTTCAGGAAGACGAGAGATTTATGCTGTCATATGACTCAGAGAGATCAAGGAAGCTGAGGACTAAAAAGCATCTTTAGGATTTGGAAATCAGGAGGCTGTTTATGACCTTTTATGCAGCGGTTTCAGACCAGACAGCAGCAGACAGAAAGGTGAACACAAGGTGAAATAGTATAGACAGTGAATCTAGACTATCCTTTGACACAGCTTGATGGTAACTAGAGTAGGATGTACGGATGAGAGAAGGTATTTTTTTCAAAAGATGGAAGTACCTTGAATATATTTATACCTTGGTGCAGAGAGAGGAAGTACAGAGTATGAAGTTGAAAATATGGGAGAGGGGTCAGTAATTGATGGATTATGAACTCAGAAATGGGAAGATCTGATTCAAGAGCAAGAGTGGAGGGATTTTCTTGACTAGGAAAAGGGATGCCTAGCCTTCTGAGGCTGGATGGAGGGAATTATAGGGGCAGATATAGAGATAAGTTTGAAGGTGGAGGTGCTGAGATCATTTGTCGATCTTGAGGAGCATGGGGTTAGGTGGGAGACTGAGAAACATAGAAAAGGCTGTGAATAATCTTGAACAGAATGTATGAGGTAGAAGATAAATTGTGGGGTTGTTTCAAGACTGAGAGTGTAGAAAGTGGAGGGGTAAGGATTTTAGGGAATTGAGTGTGCTGACTAGAAACTAAAAAAAAATAAAAAAACCCCAAAAAACCCAAGCCCTTTGCCGTTGAGTCAATTCTGACTCATAGCAACCTTATAGGACACAGTACAGAGTCGAACTGCCCATAGAGTTTCCAAGGAGCACCTGGTGGATTCGAACTGCCGACCCTTTGGTTAGCAGCCATAGCATGTAACCACCACATCACCAGGCTGACTAGAGAATAGGTCAAATGGTCCTCCAGGATGGAAGTGACATCATAAAATATCATTAGGTAGGGCCAAGAAAAAAATTCCAATGGCATATCATTGGAGACCACCATTCAAGTTAACATAAATCTATTTTTTCTATAATTTTATTGATTTTAAGGCAGTAATTAATCTACATAACTATACTATTAGCCAGTATATATTGCTTCTCTTTACCCTTTTCAGATCATTTACTAAAAGCTAAATCTTTTTCTTTCTGATTTAATAAACCTATCAAAATTTTGGCTTTTTATATTTTTCATAAAATCATGCCAGCCCCTGGTAATTGCAATGGCTTTATTTGTTAAGTTGTCCTTGACTTTTTGTTATGGATCACATCAACTTCATTGATCTCTGGATCTACATCAATACACGGGAAATGTAATTAAATATATGTAAATTTGTTGTATTCGTATTTATAATTATAGTCGCCTGTTCAATTTAGAAACACTTTTTCAATGATTTGTAATAAAAGTTTTACTTTATAAATAAGTTTACTGGCAGCAAGAAGCAGTCTAGTGTAGATATCATTTATATATTACTTTGGATAAGGGAGAACAGAAGCAAATTTGCTACAGAAACAGTGTCATTGCATAATGCCCCATTCCTTCTTTTCAGTAACGTGTGTGCATTCTTTTATACTAGAGATATTGTAGTGCTGAAGATGTGTTTGAATCGTTAGCTATGTATTACTAGAATTACTATTTGTTTCTGTGTATGTATACGTGTAAGATGTGACTATAAAATAATGTGTCTGTAGCTATCTACAAAATTCAATATTGCTAATTGGTTAGTCCTATTTTCAGTTTCAAAGAGAACAGGGCATGACAGAACAGAACTAACAGACTATATAAAAGTTTCTTGCAAGTTCAAAGGTTACTTAAGTTGGAAACTATCAGCCTTGTGGTGGAAGATATTGAGTAGCAAACAACACATAGTTTAAAATAAATTTTTCATGTGTTTTCTCATATTCTTCTTCCCAGATGTTTCTGTTGGCATTAACATGTGCATTTGTATCCAAAACACTGTCTGGATCTTACATGAATTCCATGCTTACACAAATAGAGAGACAATTCAACCTTCCGTCATCTCTAGTTGGATTTATTAATGGGAGCTTTGAGATTGGTAATGATTTATTTTTGCATTACTTCTTGTTGTATATTTTTGTGTTATCCAAGGAGCTCTTATGAGTTTTATTCTCTTTATTTGCTGCTTCAGCCTATTGAATCTGACTGTGTTATATATTTTCTAAGACGAACTGGAGAGCCTGGCAAGCTTGGGGTATGCTTAGTCGCACTGCATTTAAATATTACCTCCGAATAACACCTAAATATTGCCACATGTCCCACCACTGGCCTTTTTATTCTAGTGATTTCTTGGTTACCTAGCTTGAGTAGCAAAGTACTTAGAGTACTTATATTTAAAATCTATCACTTGATTATCCTAAGGGAAACTAAGGGCTCTCTTAGTATTTAGAAGTTATCCTGGGAAACCTAATGGATCTGTTTACCAAAAGAAAAAGTAAGTATTTTGCTGCTCCTGTTGTATCTGGAAGATTGACAATTCTCATTTCTAAGTGCAGAGAGTGCAGAGGAGAGACAAAACTTCTTCCACATCCCCTGGAATTTATTTCGGAAATAGGCTTAAGTGTGGATCTAGGGAAGAGTAAAGTCTACTCTTAGCATCTAATTTTTGTGGAAGATTTAGGAAGATGTTAGAATAGATGACAGAAAATGAAGGAAAGATTTCTTCTGTAAACAAAGCTGCAGAGAAATATGAATGGCATCCCTTTCTGGTTTTATAATAGCTCCTCCTTCCTTCAAAGTGACAGTTGCCTTTAATATACGCATTTAACCAGGGCTGAGGAGAGGCAACGCTGTGAACCAGAGGAGACTTAATCTCATCTCTTAGTGTTCAGTCTCTCAGAGCCTACTCTGTACCACCTCTGTGCTAGATCCTGGTGATAGAGTTACACATGACACTTCGTTCCTGTCCTTGTGTATACTCAACCACAGTTGAAAAACAAACAAATCAGTTGCCGTCAAGTTGAATCCAACTCATGGCGATCCCACGTGTGCCTGTGGCCAGAGTAGAACTGTGCTCTGTAGAATTTTTAATGGTTAATTTTTCTGAAGTACGTTTTTGCAGAGGTACCTCTGGATGGACTCAAACCCCCAACCTTTCAGTTAGCAGCTGAGTGCATTAATGGTTTGAACCACCCAGGGACTCCCCACAATGTAAGGGAGGGCATAAATGCAAAATAATAACTTTAACGTAATGCAGTTAAGTGCAGTGATGTAGGTATATACAAGGTCCTATAGGAATACAGAGGACAGGTCGCACCCCCACTTAGGGAAGACAGAGTCTTGAAGGATGAGTAAAAATCTTCTAGATGAAGATAGAGGTTAAGTGAAAGTAATTCTAATAGAAGAAACATAAAGAAGGAATCATAAGGGTGAGGCAGTATAGCATGTGTGGCGGACAACATTCAGCCCAGTATTATCGCCTGGCAAAGCCTGTGGAGGAAATTATTAGGATATGAGCCTGGAGAAATGGGCAAGGGTGAGAAATGGGCCATGGAAAGCCTTGTGTCCTTGCTGTGGAGTTTACCGCTTATCTTATAGGCGAAGGAGCATTACTAAGGGTTTGGCAGGAGTTATTAATCTCTCTGTGCCAAGGACCCCTTTGGCAACGTGGTGCCATGTGATCTCAGAGTAATATTTTTAATTGCATAAAATAAAAATCATAAGAGTGCAAAGGAAGCCAATGATAGGGAAATAAAGAAACCCACTGTGGTCGAGTTGACTCCAACTCATGGAGACCCCATATGTTACAGAGTAGAACTGCTCCATGGTTTTCTTGTCTGTAATCTTTATGGAAGCAGATCTCTAGGCCTTTTCTTCCGCAGTGTGGCTGGATGGGTTCAAACTGCCAATCTTTCAATTACCAGCCAAGCACAAACCGTTTACACCACCCAGGGACCTTTCCCCAAGGCTAGATAATCACAGGTAGAACCATTAAAATTGCCTAGCCTCCATTCTTCAGTCCCTTTCGCTGGCTTCTCTTATTCTGCCCTCCTTAATTGTTGGTGTTCTGCAGAGATCTGTTTATGCATCTGTCTATACCGCTAAACAGAGCCCTACTTCAGGTCAGGGGTCAAGTCTTACTTATTTTCTTATGCATTCCTAGCACCCTTCCCAGTATTTGAGATAGTTGTCATACAATAAATGCTAGATAGTAAGTGATGGGTGGGGGTGTTAATTAAGACTTTGTTCATACTTACTGAAATGAGCATTCTCTATTTTTTTCCCCAGGAAATCTTGTGTTGATTGTATTTGTGAGTTATTTTGGAACCAAACTGCATAGACCTATAACGATTGGAGTCGGATGTGTGATAATGGGCTTAGGGTGTTTCTTACAATCGCTACCTCATTTCCTCATGGATCGGTGAGTATTCCAGTCTCTGATGACTTCTTAGGTTCAACTTTTGACTTCAGGAAATGAAACTTGGATTTTTCTCTCAAGCAACTATGCTTTCTGAAAGCACAGAGCATTGTAGTGGAAAGTGGAAAATGTGGATCCTGCTCCACCACTCTGTTTCATGTTCTTGGCTGCCTCACTTTCATTTGTACGGTAACATTTTGCTAACTTATGAAATAGAAATTTGGGCCACCTCTTTTATGAGATTAAGCCTGATGAAAAGATTCTTAGAACCTGCCAATATTTGGGATTACTCCCTTTTCAGGACCACTTAGACACTTTTAATTACAATGAGGGGTGCCTGGGTAGTGTAAACAGTTTGGCATTCAGCTGCTAACCACAAGTTTGGGGGTTGAGTCCACCTAGAGGCACCAGAGAAGAAAGGACTGGCAATCTACTTCTGAAAAATCAGCCATTGAAAACCCTATGGAGCACAGATCTACTCTGATACATATGGGGTCACCATGAGTCAGAATTGACTCAACAGTAATTTTTTAAAAATTACAATGAGTTTCTGTTTAATTGTAGGACACCAAGACACAGGAACAGTCTGAAAGTTATTATTATTTTAATTTTTATCAAAGTAACATCTGTGCTACCAAACTGAAAAACCCTTTACCGTTGAGTCAATTCCAACTCATAACGACCCTATAAGACAGAGAAGAACTACTGGGCAGAACGGAACTGCCCCATAGGATTTCCAAGAAGTGGCTGGTGTATTGGAACAGCTGACCTTTTGGTTAGCAGCTGAAAGCTTAACCACTGTGCCACCAGGTTTCTGTGCTAGGTGCCTTAAATTTGGACATTTGGAAAAGTTACTAGTATGATTTCTCTGATGATATTTCTCCTCCTCTTATCCCCTCCATTCTTTCTATTTTCTCTTTCTAGAACTTCTACTACTTGAATATTGAACATCCTGGATTAAGCTTACGTTTTTCGCATCTTGGCTCTTCAATTTTCTGTCTCTTTGTCTTCTTGTTACGTTCTGGGAGATTTCTTCAACTTTTTCTTCCAAATCTTCTAATGAATTCTTAACTTATACTATCATATTTTTAATTTTCAAGAATTCTTTTGTTCTTTGAATGTCTGTTTTTAAGAAACATCTTATTCCTCCTTCAAGAAGGCAATGTCCTCACAACCAAACAACTCATAGGATTTGGTTCCTTGATTTATAGACTTAGGGTCATAGTTTCATGGAACATCCCAATTAACTGGCCTAGTAACGTGTTTGGTGCTTCTGTTCTACCTCTTGGTTCGTTGTGTGGTGTCTGGGGTCTTAAAAGCTTGCAAGTGGCCATCCAAGGCACAGCAATTGGTCTCCATTCATCTGGAGCAACAGAGGAAGAAGGAGAGTCAAGAATAGAAGGAGGATATGGAATATGTGTTTAATCACCTCCATGAACAACTGCCTCCTTTGCCACGAGACCCAAAGAGCTGGATGGTGTCCAGTTACCATTACTGAACATTTTGATAAAAGATTCTATAGAAGGATATTGATCAAAAGGGGGAAAAATGCTGCACAGAATTTCAAATTATCATGGACTCTAGACTTTCTGGAGCCGTGGAGGGTGGATGAACCCTGAAGCTATTGCCCTGAGATAATCTTTAAACCTTAAACCAAAAATATCCTGTGAGGTCATCTTAAAACTGATAATAGCTTAGTTTAACTGGTAAAAAAAAAAGTCTGCCTTGAGACCTATCTATATAGGATCAAATTGACAACAGCAACTCAAAAGATTAGATAGGAAGCTTAGGGGGTAGTGAGTTTATGCTAATGAGGGAGGAACAACTTAGAAAAGGAATACAACTAGAATGATTATAAGAATGGTTGCACAATTTGAATAATATAATCAATGTCACTAAATTGTACATGTAGGAACTGTTGAATTAGTGTATATTTTGCAGTGTATATTCTCAACAACAACAAAAATTTTTTAAAAAAAGAATGCAATGTCTTCTCTCATCTAACTTTTCTTCAGCTGTCCTCATTGTCTCTGTCTCTTTCAAGTGTACATTTTTGTTTTTGTTTTTTATCTCTGCCTTTAATGTAAAAGTCTTCCCTCAAATATTTGGTGGTTCTTAATTGTTCATATTTAAGAGAGAAAAATGACAACAATAACAACAAAAAGCTGATTGGAACTCCTGCTTACATGCGTAGGACTTGGTAAATGGAAGACTTCTTTGTCAGATGATTACTCAGGTACTGGCTGTTGTTTAGAAGACTACAACTGCTCATCACCTGTCAGTTTTCCTAGAGAGGGATTCTTCAATCTGTTGCCTTGGAGGCAAAAGCTTGGCTACTGGCTAGATCGTTGTTAGCTGACGTGGAGTCGGCTCTGACTCATGGGGACCTTATGTATAACAGAACAAAACATTGCTCTGTCCTGCACCGTCTTCATCCTAGGAGACTCATCTTCCAGCACTGTATCCGACAATACTTGGTTGTGATCCACAGCGTTTTCATTGTCTAATTTTTGGAATTAAATCTTCAGGCCTTTCTTCCTAGTCTGTCTTAGTCTGGAAGCTCCACTGAAACCTGTCCACCATGGGTGACGCTGCTGTATTCGAAACACTGGTGGCATAGCTTCCAGCATCATAGCAACATGCACGCAAGCCATCACAGTATGACAAACTGACAGACTATCCAGATACAGGTGCAAATCTTACTTTTCAGTATGTAGTTTTGGATTTTTTTTTTTAATTTCTTTTTTTTGTTAATCTTTCCATGTTTCGCTGAGCCTCTCTATCCTCAGATGTGCCTCTTCAGATACTCTATGGTCGATGGTGATTTTCAGTTGGAATAGGGGAGGGTATCTCTGGGTGTCTAACTGTCCTTTATACACACTTTAAATGAAACTTTCTGTTTTTTAAAACTCTCTTTTTTAGAAGTATTTTGTATCTCCAATTACTGAAAATCTCTAGGGATGTGTGTTATACTTCAGGTTGTGCCCCTGCAGGTACTTACTTAGGGATGCATTTTCTCATATCTGCCATTTCAGGGATCATTCACTAATCTGCTTTCCAGTTTTCCAAATGTTGTTAAACTCTCTCTTTTTGTCACATCTCCTGTTTTCCTTATCTTTGTGGAATCATGTCTTTTCCATTTGTCATTTTATTAGTATTTTGGGAATGAACAGACTTTGAATGAGTTGTTTGGTTTTGTTAAATGAATCAGTTAAATGAAAAAACATACATTTTATCTTCTCAGGGATTCCTGAAGGGATCAGAAGTTTCCAGGAAAGGAGTTTTTGTTGTTATTAGTTGCTGTCAGTTGACCTTATGTATAACAGAATGAAACGTCTGGTCCTGTGCCATATCCATGATCTTTGATATGTTTGAGCTCTTTGTTGAGGTTATTGTGTTAATCCATCTCATTGAGGGTTTCTCTTGTTTTCTCTAACACTTTACCAAATATGATGTTCTTTTCTAGTGATTGGACTTTTCCTGATGATGTGTCCCAAGTGAGCAAGACGAAGTCTCGCCACCTTTGCTTCTGAGGAGTATTCTAGTTGTATTTCTTTCCTATCCTATCCAAGACCATGTCAAGCAACATTTAGCAATTATTTACATTTCTTCTTCCCCTCTGCCAAAGGTGTATTTTGTTTTTGTTTGACGCTGGCACACCTCACAGGTGTGGAGACAGAAACCTTTGTCCTCAGCTTACAGTTACACTCTGGGCATGACAGGCAATTATTCTAAAGAGAAGGTATTCTGGTCCATTTTATTATATCTCATAACACAGAAATTAGGACAGTTAGTAACAGCTAAGCATAACAGTCTTTAGCTCATCTGGAACTCAAAAGAGCATAGTTTCTTATGTCTTTCTCTTATCTAATAGAAATATAGAAAGCAATTCAGCATAATTTCAAACAAAGAAAGTCTTAGCTCGACATGTTTTCTTCCCTTATTGCAGCCTATAACTTACTTTCTGGAAAACAACATGTAACTCTTATGGTAATTTGTGTAAGTAAAATGGTCACAGTCTCTTACCCGTATTGTTCTTAGGAGGGAAGAAAAAGTCATCGCATTATGCTGTCAGGATATTTGAGATTCTCCTAAGGCTTCTCATAATAATGGGTAAATATTTTGTTTTCTTTAGGAATCAAGGAACACATGAAGGAATTATTGTTTGAATTCTCAGAAAGTGGTAGCATATTTCTTACAAGCAAACCTCAGAGAATCCAAAGTTGGAGACTTGTTTTCTTGTTTTTCTCCCAAAGGCTTTATCTTCTTAATTACACTTTGTTGAGTCTATTATTTTTCTATGTTTTCTCCTTTATCCCACATGAAT